TTCGAGCCTACCGCAAAACACGGGGTCGTCTCTTGACACCGTTGACTAATCTTTCAAGATCTCATACTAAGCCTGACCAAACTTAGTATCCAGGACTTACTCCTGTAGCTCTCCCACCTCTTCCTTCATGCCATCTGGATCCTAGCAGAGACCAAGTTCTAGCATTTAAAGCTGTTCTTGACAAAGAATGCGGCTAGGTAGTCATGTTGTAATTTACTGAGGAATAAATAGATGCGCTCATTCTTGAACAATGGCGGCGCACTCTACAATAATAGGGAAAGATTCAAGAGGAAAAATCGGAAAAGCCTCAAAAGAAATAAAAGTAACCGAGGCCTTTCCACAAATGATCTTATAAATAAATAAATTTGAATAACTCTTCCTTTGAAATCTTTTTATTATCCAGCTTCATCGTCTGTGATTTTGTTAGGTGAATCAACTAAATTAAACTCTCAAGTTGTTGAATGCAACGAGGATCTTTAATAAATCTTTATCATTAATTACTTCTTTAAGAGCTCATTAATCGTCAAAGTTAGCTTCTATAGGGATTTCAATAAAAATCTTGATGAATTTTTAGAAAGTGCTGGATCTATTGAGGGTTTATTAGATTTTGATAAATTCGTCTAAACTTTTAGATTTAATTAGTGAAGGTGATGATAATTGATTGAGTAAACTAAGTGATTCATCAATAGCACTGATGGCTTCATTTTGTTCAGAACCTTAGCTTCAAAATCAGTATGATCATTGGCTCTTTAGACTGTTACCTCATTAAGGGTTCTTCTGTTTTAATCAATGTTTTCTTATAATTATTCCAGTTGGGCAGCAATTCTATCTCTTTTTGGGATAAGGACATTATTATAGAAATTGTGAGCGTTGAACTCATCGAATGATGATTTATAGATGTAATTACCTCTTTCTTTATCTTAGATTTCTTATTAAAGTCTTCCTACTTCTCTATTGTGGACATCTGTTCTTCTTGCATATTAATGATGAACTTCTGCTAATTCCTCATCCAATTCATCAATCTAAATAAATACATAATCATACAAATTTGGCAATTTTTGTGTTGAGGATACCGCCTATTTACAAATGGAACTTACCAAAATTCAAGATAAAGCTTCCCCATCTTGATTATTTGATTTGAGCAAACATTTTTTAGTTGTGTACTGAAGTGTAGATATCAATTGCTGTAATACTAAGAACGAACAAGGTGCAGACTGCTACTTTTAACATGTATTATTATTATTATTACCACATTCAAAAAATGAATCATCCAAAGATTATTTATTCTGTTTATTCTGAAGATTAATGAATTCATCAATTACCCAATTAGTGGGTAAGAATAAAATTATACAACCTCCAGAGGTGATTTTCATCACTTTTTTTAGTTATTAATTTAACAATATTCTAATTATTTAATAAATAATTTTTTTTCATTATTAACTTATGATTACTAAAAAATCATCAGAAAAATATTGATAGACTTAAAAAATACTGTAATCAATTTTTATCAGGGGTTATGATATACAGATACCATAATGGAACGAATAGCTATCGTATAATATCCTGACATATGAATCATTAAATTACTAATAATCATTATCCAAATTTTGCTGATAATGTAATTTCTTCTTTAAATAGGAGAAAGGCATAATTTTTAAATTGGGTTGTTCGGAGTACATGAATACTAATGAAAATGTTAGATTATCTTGTACAAATTCTTTAATATATAGAATTAATTATTTCATAACTCTCAAAGATCGATGCTTCAATTAAATAGAACAATTTAATCTTTATTAGAATTTA